CGTTAATATGTTATGTGTTGACCGTATGGCGGAACGTTTTGACATGAGAAGGTCTGGTGACTACAAATAAGGTAAGATTTATTTATTTACAAGCATGGAATCTACGGAGCCAGCAGCTAAAAAACCAAGAAGTAAAAAATTTCAATCAATTTCAAAAAATTTAGAAATATTTTTAATGTAGCGGGGTAACGGTGCCTTGTTTAATTTGTATGAGATACTGTACTGACGCCGTATTGCCGCACATGCGCATACAACCGGTCCCATATCGCAACACTGGTCGGTGTCCGCTTCTGCCTGTTGCTAGACAACAATTTACAATTTACAATTTCTGGCTTTTGCAGACGGCACTAATTAAAAATAGCCATAATGTCACACAAATTGAAATCTGGCAACATGGCGCTGCCTAAAATTTGTATAAACATTCCTTATCACCCCCTCCATTGTCTGTTCTAAAAATAGTAATGATGTAATTTAAACAGGCGCTCTACTTTGATGCGTAGAAAAAACCTGCACGTGCCTGCAAAGGATATAAACAATTCTCGGAACTATGAATCATTTTTGTATAAACCATCCTTATCTTTTCCAGGAATCCTTATCTCTCAATGACTCATGTTTATATAAACAATCCTTATCTTATCTTTTCCAGGAATCCTTATCTCTTCCGGGAATTGATGTAATCCGATACCTTCCCCTCTCCCCCATACCTCCCTCGTCACCCCCTCCACTCCAAAATTACCCCCTCTTCTACAAAACGATGACGTCATTACCCCCTCCACTGTAATCTGATACCCTTCTTCCCCTCTTCACCCGCACCCCCCTCATTGCCCCATGGGTTAGAACCCGTGTTGCTATACTACTTTTAATATTCAAAATAAGTTATTGGTCATTACTGTATGAAATATCTATGAGTTTATCATCTTTTTAAATATTAACAAAAATGCAAGGTTGGGAAAGTTACTTTATAAAAGTAACTCGTTATTGTTACCGTTTTTTTTGCTAAAAAGTAACTCGTTATCGTTACTCGTTACCAATTAAAAAAAAATCGTTACCGTTATCGTTACTCAAAAAGTAACAAATCGTTACAATTTCCGTTACTTTTTTAATATATAATACAAATTTTATGTACAATTTTTCTAATACAAGATTAAATTAAACACTACAAAGGAGGATGTTAAAAATAGATCGATTTTGGCCCATGGTGTGGAACCAAAACTACACATGGTTTCTTATAGATTTCATACCGTAGAATCACGTGGTAAAGTTCGTTTTCTTCTAGACAGCGGGGAAAGTACGGAAAAATTGAAAAAAGACTATGAGAAATGCAATTTCCCGAGCTAGTTGAAGTTTGGAACATTTCTGGAGCGATTTTTTAAAAATGATTTGTTGCTTTTGTCCTTTTGCAGGGAGGAAGTTCTGAAGCCCTCACATGACGTACAAGGAAGACCGATTCGATACATGCATCGGAAGACACCCTTATACTCAAAAAACCACCCCCAAAATCACTCGAACAATTCTAGCCAAGCTAAAAATGATTTGTCGCTCTTTTCATTCTGCGCGGAGAAAGTTCTGAGGCCCTTACACGATATGCAAAAAAGATCGATCCGATACATGAGTCGGAAGACACCCTTATACTCGAAAAACCACACCAGAATGCCTAAAAAATTTTCGCCTAGCAAAAAATAAATTGTCGCTCTTCTCCTTTTGCATACAGAAAGTTTTGAGGCCCTTATACGACATGCAAAAGAGACCGATCCGATACATGCGTCGGGAGACACCCTTATATCCGAAAAACCATCCCCAAACTCACTCAAACAATTCTAGCCAAGCTAAAAATGATTTGTCGCTCTTTTCATTCTGCACGGAGAAAGTTCCGAGGCCCTCACACGACATGCAAAAGAGACCGATCCGATACATGCGTCGAAAGACACCCTTAGCTTGGCGAGAATCGTTTAAGTGATTTTGGGGGTGGCTTTTTGAGTGTATACTATACGGCATCAACGATTTACGTCTGGTTAGTATGAAAGCATGATGAACTTGTACGGCTGCGCTTGCTCATGCTCGAATCGAACGTATCACTTTTATGATCATCTTGATCAAAAATGTCGTTGAACTCATTTTTAATTGAAGCTAATAAGCAATGAGCCAATTGCTATCAGAATGTGTTAATAAATCTCTCTCATACATGTTTTTTCAATAGCTTGACAGTATGAAAAATTTATAGATTTTAGAAAAATACACTTTATATTTTTATTATAATTTTCTTTTTTTTTTCTTGTAATATAGTACTTACAAATATTTACAAAACTCGAATATTAATTTTTTTTAAATACAAGAAGTTTAAAATAGAGATATTGCAGTTAAAAGAACAAATATTATGTTAATTTTTTTATAGAAAGTAGAAATGTGAAAGTAGTCTAATGTTTTATTTGATTATTTGTCACAACAATAATGAGGGAAATAATATTCGTAACAGTTTAATTGCATATATAAAATTTAACGTTGCAGCTAATGTTAAATTTTATATATGCAATCGATTTTGTATATTTATCCTTTGATCCGCTATGTCGTAAATATTGATATTAAAATAAAGATAACTATATTCAATATATATATGTATGTATTGAATAATTAATTAACTTGTTTATTTATTTTGTATTTATTACATAAGAATAAAAATAAGGAAAGCATATAACATTTTTTTCCAATTAGATATATAGTATTCTACATACATTTTTCAAATAAAATATTTTATCATATCTAATTTATATCTATTAGATGCCTTGTATAAGTCTATTTCGTCTCGTATGTACATACATCATACAGCCATACGATAAAATTTCAATTGCGAGAAAAAAGGTTAAATGACCTTATAAATTATCCGACAAAACATAAACAGACCACACGTGTTGTAAATTACGAACTAAAAAAATACGTATTTCTTCAAATCTGCCAGCTCACGTTAGATCGCCTCTGACAA